TTTTTCTTTTTTTTCTTTTAGATAAGACATTGTTCTTTATTATAAAGCTATCAAAAAAGCTTTCCATTATTAGTCCTTATGCATAAATAATTTTGTTGCTCATCCATCAATGTACAGTTCCTTCGTTATTTAATATACAAAAATTTTATTCTATGAATAAGATTAAAACAGATATTTCTGTACTTTTTTACTTACTGGATGTTTACGCCAAGTTTCTAAAATCAGCGGCCTCTCTTTTTTATGGACAACGCTTTCTTGCATGTCTTCTAGAGTAGGATGGAGACCGACTTCGTCCTCAAATGGTAGTCGATATTCTCCTATTGGTCCCTAATATTGAAATAAAAACAATTAGCAACTTTCGACACGCGATTAACTTACAAGGCTTCTAGTACGTGATTATTTCCCCTGTGTGTGATTATATGTTAAGGAAATACCCAGAAAATAATACCCAGTGTTTATTTCATTATTATTTTATGTATAATTTGCATTTTTATTATCATTCCTCAAAGTAAATTTTGGCATATTATGGTTTTGGCATTTCAGTTTTCTTCCAATTTCTTGTAACGGAGTTAGTTCAGATAGTTCAGATTTAACAAATTTGCAGATTTGGATAAATTCAATTTTTCGAATATTAAAATGCGGATTATTTGGGTAATACCGATGTCCGAATGAACGGATCGGATAACCCAAGAAATCGGATATCGGATATCCAGTTAATTGTTTTCTCGATATCCACATATCCAGACCATATTTACAGCTCTAGTCTTGAGAGCTCGCAGTTTAGCAAAAATGCATGTTCTCTGTAAGACATATTGCATATAATATACATTACGTACATTTTGTACAGTACATCTTGAAGCTAATTCCCATAGAACTAACCCACATGCATACATGTCAATTCGTAAAAATGAATCTCTAGTGAAATTTATTGCTCCTTCTAAAACTTCTGGTGCCATATATCGTCGTGTCCCAACCTATAAGTAACAAATTATTAAGTGATTTTTATACATCATAATAAAAAATTGTAACGATATATATAAACATTACCTGTCCGTGTGTATCGCCGCAAGGTTTTCCCGGATGAAAAATAAGTGCCAAGCCAAAATCTGCTATGCAGGCACTCATGTCAGCCTTCAGTAAAACGTTTTTTGACTTAAAATCTCTATGAGCTACAGCTGGTTTATAACCATCTGCTTTGTTAGCCGGGATTTCCTCATGTAGATGCATTAAACCTCTGTTAACAACAATCTTTTTATTAAAAACTAAATAAAAACTCAGTAAAAGTGTTGCTCTATTTAATTGATGTGTAATCTTGTTTTGGTTCTAGAAAATTATTATCGCTATTATTATAATTGTTACCTTGCCATGGACTCTGCAATTCTACACATCTCAGGCCAGGTTACAATATTTGCTTTTAGATAATCACACAGTGAACCCTTTTCATGATACGCCGTAATTAACCAAAATTCAGCTTGTAAATTATCCCCACGTTTTTCAACACCTATAAAGTGTAATATGTCCTCGTGATCCATATGTGCAAGCTTAAAAATCTCTTGTTCAGTCTGCCAAGATTGCTTATCTTGAATGGGAAAAACTTTAACTGCCACGATTTCATTTTTAAATTGGGCTTTCCAAACTGCTCCGAAACGACCTCGAGCTTTAATCTCAAGAAGTTGTATTGGTCGTAAGCCTAGATTAGGTGAAGGTTGTGGCAATGGTACAGGTTCCAACGTTGGTACCTGAAAGATTTACATTAATTGCATTAATTAAATAATACACTTAACAATTTTATAATAATCTCAAAGTACAAACCTCGTTAAAATAGCTCAATTTTCGGCGACGATAGATCCACCAAAAAGAAAATGAACTAATCGTAAGAAGTATAGGAATTGCTATTAATAGGGCAAGTGTTATTGCTTGCTGCTTCGCACTGGGCACAGGTTCAAGTTCTGAAAAGGAATTTATTTAAATATTATTACAAGTACGTTGCAAGAGACAGATTTATTTTCAAGTAAAAATCAATACTGCATAACAAGATTGAATAATATACCATGAATGACAGATGGTTCTGTAGGCTTGGTGGTTGGTTGTGGAACCCAAGAGAAGTTTTGGTTACACATATTGCCTTCGCAACAACAAAAATAGAGTTCATTTTTTCTTTCCATACTATTCTCCACACAAAGCGGTTTACCATAACAATCATTGTTATCTAAAAAGCAACCCTGAAAATAAGGTATAAGATGTATAGCAAAATTGTATACGACAAGAGAATAAAATCTATAATTGTCAATTTCTCGAGAAAAGAACAATATGAAACAATCTTAAAAAAAATTGCAATTTACAAGATTCAACTCAAGACCTTGAGACTCGTTGGCAAGAATGTTCGATATTACAAAATAATGTAAAAATAAAATACGCGAAATTTTTCGACACACACATCTATCTAACTTCTAATATATATCTTAACTTTGCACATTTTTTTCTTTAAAATCCGGTCCATTTTAATTATTTGTACATATAACAGACTTGTATAATAAATTATACGTAATAAATAATATTAATCAGATATAAATAACCAACCTTTAATTTAATTATTGTTTCTTTAGTAGTACTGTTCATCGTCCATAGCACATAACAATGATTACGTTTCTCTAGGTCATGCTGGACACATTCTTCCCTTCCTGAACACTCTTGTTCGTTCTCCGCACACATTGTGTCATTGTAAAATTCGCAAAAAACTGAGCCTTTAATATCTTCTGCAGATATAGTTCCTAAAATAATCGATCAAAATTCTATGATTTTTCTATTTAACATTAAATATTTAATAAATTAAATTATTAACTGTTTTATTTATTTATTAAGTATTGCTTAACTGCAGCTATATTCCTTTCATCTAATAGTTTGTTTTAACAAGATAATTTTTAATTATTGTTACGTATGTAAATGTATATATAGTTTATAATTAAGATACCTCTTATTACAATATTTTCTCTGTCAAAAAGTAGACAAAGATATAGAGTTTGTCTTCACACACATACGAAACATTCTACAACTTAACACTTATAAGACATACAGGCATATAAAAGCTGCTATAGCTGCTGCTACGATTAGCCTATATGTATGCCAAACTTGCACAAAGTTTAGCATATAGGACTTGGTCACTGTTCAACTGAGTATAGTCAGAAAAACAAATCTCAAACTACCACTGTAATTGTTTGCAAACTACATTCTATTATTCATCTGTCTACAATTTACAAAGTAAAAACAGTGACATAAGTGAACGTAAGGAACAAATTACTGGATAAGTTTCAAATTCATAGACAGAATTGAAGAATTAAAGTCAAGTATACAGGAGTTTCGGACCTTAACAGAGACAGCAGCGTAATCGTTTGCAAACATGTAAGTTTAATGCAAAAGTGTAAGATTATCATAATCTCAGCTTTATTCGAATTAAGATTGGTTTTAATAAGGAGCTAATACATTCTCTCAAATACAATCAATGACAACAGAAATAAAGACAACTTTGACCAAGTTCTGATTAACTTACTCGGTTTTTAACTTGTCAAACGATATTCGTACTATTTTGTTAATGTAAATAGGACATTTAATACACGAAGAGAAAAAGCTTAGATTAGATATAACAAAATATACAGTAGAAAATTTTGCGATAAGCAATTCTGCCGGTTAAATTAAACACTGACTAAGATTAAGTTAATTGGAGTTTGGTCAAAACTTTCTCTCGTTTATCTCTCTTTCTCTCTCTCTCGCTCTCTGAAAAATTCCATAATCCTTTAAATCTTCCGAGGGTAAGAGCTTTGAAAAAGAAAAGCGCAAATTTTAAACGACATATATATGTTACCTAATAATCCCAGGAAGATGAGAGGCAGTATCGTCGCGTATACGGACATGGTGAGCGAATCGTAAAAGCATACCAGTAATTTTGAGTCTATTAGCTATTAAGCAAATTGTAGTAATTTATCCGCCGACACATCTCTTCCTTTCTCTCTCTTCCTCTCTTTCTCTTTCCCGTCCCTGTCTCTCTGTCTCTCTCTCTCTCTTTCTCTCTCTTGTTTCTCCTCTTCCACCTTTATACCAGAAATACGCACAGCACAGATTTATGTCATCTTTAAAGTCAAATCATTGCCAGTCTCGTAACCTCCGAGCAAAAAACATGCTCCTTTTTTTTTCCTCTCTTCCGCCTCTTCCTCCACACGGCACGCGGCGCGTTAACGCGACACACCAGCAGCGCGCAATTAACCCACACGCGGTATCCCCAGTTAAATTAAGACAGATATTTCATTTTCGGGGCCGAGTTAGAATTAGAAGGAACGGTACGGCAGGCGCGCGAGATCGAGAGACGCACAGAACGATGTGCCGGGTACGGAACACCTACGAGCTGTACACTTATCTGACTTTATCATCGACACGAAAGTACAACACGGCGAAACATAAATATCGCGTATCGTGGGAATTGGGAATAAAGCCTGAGGGAAAGAAGACATTTGATGTCTAAAGTCACGGTCTGCTTCTAATATGGCAGTCTAGCGCTTTTACCTTGGTCATCGATCAGTTATTACCCGGAGTCGTCCAACTGCCGCATATTTCACAGATGCCAGCGCGCGCAGTGCCCTCTGATCGACGATCCTACTTTTTCCCAGCCGCGGAAATACGAAGTTTCTCTCTCATCACTCATGCGAATTCTTTTTCAATGATTTTAGGGATGACTCCCCTATGACTCCGATATAAAATTCTGATTAACCAACTTCCCAAGCAATATCTGTACCATTTTGTTAGATAGAATGAGTCTTTTACTATTTCAGAAAGATTAGAATTATATAGAAATTAATCAGTTTAATTAACATGTTATTAACGTCATTAAAGCTCCATATTTGTAGAGAATAATACAAAATAAATAATATTAGAAGAATCATCAACTTCTTACTATTTGAGAAAGATTGGAACATGGAAAGATTAGGGATAATGAATTATACAAGTAGAAATTAACCGGTTGAACCAACATATAATTAATGTCATTAAAATACCACGCATTTTAGCACTTGCATAGAATGATACACGATAAATAATATTGCAGACTTTATACATTATGTAGAATATCAATTTGACCGTCGTATTGTAAGAGCAACTTAGTAATCGCTCTTTTAAAGAAAATGGGCCATTGGGTCCTCGTCGCGTTTGCGTTTCATTTGATACGCTTCTATCTCTTCAGCTGACAATTCCTTCGTCTCGTACATGCTGTTGTACGGCCGTTTCCTCTCATCTATCTGCAACATTCTGTCCGCTCGCTTCGCATTTTCCTCCTCCTTCCTCAGCGCTTCCTTCAGTTTGTCCTCGTCTTGCTCCGCGTTATTTCGTTTTTTATTCCTGCGGTTTTCCTTCCGTTTCTGCTTCTTCAATTTCCGTTTAGCCGCTCTACTCTGCTTTTCCGTTTTGTCTCTCGTATCCTCATCCTCGGACGGGGATTCGCTGCTGGAAGTACGATTGTCCTCCACTGTGTCCGGGTTATCATTCGTTTCTTCCGGTTCAGATGGAACGTTATCTGGTATACCGTGGCTCACTGCCTCCACCGCTTTCTTCCCCGACTCGCCGGTACAATATGAATTTTTAATGAAAGAGTAACAGCATTTGTAGCCCCACTTTCCATCTTGCCAGTAGGAGCCCCAGATTGACGTGTGATTATTTGGATAAATGTCCTCTTCATATTTAGATCGTATCACCTGTCTATCTTGTCCCTTAATTATTTTGCCGTACCTCGAATATTCAACGTAGTGCTCGGTCTGCGCGAGTAACAGGGGCTTTGGTGGCGCTTTGAGATGCTCTTCACCACCGTAACGCTCGATCACGCTGTCGCGCGCCTTGTCCTTGAGCTCGTCGCGTTTCTTGTCGTACTCCTGCTTCAGTAATTCGAGTTTCGTAGGCTCGGCCAACAAATGTACGTCGACTCCTTTCTCGTGCGCGTCCCAAGCGAACAGTTGCGCATTGGCGTGTTGCTGTGTGTCTCCGGAGAACCGCGCGGAGTTCTCGCCTTTGAAATCCACCTCGCGTTCCGTGCCGGCGTAAGGATTATCTCGCATAGATCTGGTCTTTGGATCGTAATACGCCGAGTTCGGATCGAGATTGCGCAGATACTTGGCGGTGTCCTCCCGAATCCGGAGATTTCTCACGGTGATGCGCTGCTTGGAGTCGACCTTCGTCCCAGGCATGTCCACCTCGTCGACATATTTATCCTCGTCCTTGTCCGAGTCCAGTTCGTCGTTCTCCTCCTCGGCGTTGAGCTTCTCGGCGCGCATCTGCCTCTTGGCCTCCTCTATCTTCTGATACTCCTCGACGATCGCTCTGTGCTCGGAAGGATCGTAACCGGCCCATCTGTCCCTCTTGCCGTCGTAGTCCATCGACAGGTCGGGCTGGCTGAACTCGTCCGGTGCTATCTTCGAATTGGTGTACTTGGCGCCGACCTTGCGCGGCCTCTCCATACAGTCCTTCCTCTTGTGAGTCATCGCGCCACAATTCTCGCAGGCGCCCTTGCGATACTTGGCCGCCGTTAGCGAGGCATCCACCCCGCGATTGTACCACGCGTCTATCGAGCTGAACTCCCTCTGTTTCTCGGGCTGCGGTCTCTGATGCTTCAGGGTGGGACCCTGAGCGCCAAAGTACCACGGTGTCGCGCTGATATACTGCGGGATGTGCGGATTGATGTCTTTACCCTCCTCGTCGACGGCCGCGGGGGCCGTGCCAGCCTTCCTCGCCTCCTCGAGCTCCTTCGCCTTTCGCCAGTCCTCCCGGCTCTTCTTCCGCGGCTCATCGTCGAACGAGCTCTTGTTCTTCAAGATGCTCGACACGGTTACGTTTGCCGACGAAGTGGCCATTCTACCACAACTCTGCTTACTTTTCAGAGGACACCGTTTACTCGAAGTCTGTTGACACTATTGACGGTGTTTACATTTGAATCGGAATCGATATCGAAATTGCTTTTGAGGTTACTTCCGCTGCTGACAGTAGCCAAGTCTGCCAAGCGTATTTCCGAACCGAACGCAAAACCAGTCGCACGTGATCTAGTAAATTACCAGAATTGCACCATTCAGCGCGCAGCAATGGCGGTAGACCCTTCATTGCTGATTGGCTATTATCGCACATGTGACTACATGTTGCTCTCTGCTAACACCTATAGTACACTCTGAGTGCAGTTTTATTGTTCCAATGTGAAGTTTACATATTTTCTGTTCTACTTTAATTAGACAAATTTTTATCAGTAATTGTGACGCGCGTGCGGCGTAAATCAGTTATTGACTTCCCGCGCTTTTGACCTTTTTTCCAATATAGTTCGTCTCGAAATCCGAAGATATAGAAATCTATTGTTCACGTCACATATGCTTTAGGTTTTCAGTATTGTCAATTATATTGCATCGCGAAATTATATTATGTTGACGTTGCGCTTGTAATTTGTATGTACAGTGCTATTACCTGTAACCATTGCAATGAAATTGATCGTAATAATTAACACTTAAATTCTCATTACTGTATTGTTTGTAATTGGTATTATTTTTAATGTCCATCGCATTCTGAATTATGTATATAATAATACTCATTCTCATAATGTAAATGAAAGAAAGAAATAATAAAATGCCGATTTCTAAATTAAAATATGTCATCTCGTTCCTAATTATATTCTATTTTTTATAAATTCATACTTTCAGAATTTCAAACTTATAGGAAATCACGGCTCTTGGAAATATTAAAAAATTCTTGAAACTTTTAATAGTGCAACTTTTTACGTGTGCTGTCTAGGCCTGGCCAAGTATGTTCTCCTAATACTTGATCGATTTTTGAGAAAATTCTTGGAAAATAAGAAAATGATTAGAATTTTAGACAGTAGCAGGTCGTCAAAATGCATTCTTTAGAGAAAAATTTTTAAATTTTGTTAATATCAGCACAAGAAAGAGTGTATATGCTGTGTTAGCTGTTATTAGTAATATTAATAATCTCGTTAAAAAATCTATGCTTCTCGAAACGATACTCACGTAAAGAAGGGTAGGAAGCCAGGACCACACACTCAATCTCTGCCATTATTGCGATCATAGACTGTCACAAGAAGCTGTCGGCCTTTCACACATGTGATATCAGAAAATATCGAAACAGAAATAATTGCCATCATAAATGCTTGATACATATTTATTACAAAGATATAAATTTTATTATAAAAATTATCGAAAAAAAAAAAAAAGGTTTGTCTTCATTACAAACAGAACTAAAAGCCATTGTAATAATACTTCACGTTACCGCATCCACTCCTGTTATATTTATAATCCATTTATGCTCGACTGATATAAGATAATCGATTCAACAAGTAAATAATAGCTTCTTGGATTATAAATATAAGTAGACATTCCGGAGTGTCGAATTTAGTCTTTTGCAGAATATTTCGTGATAATGCGTCGCGATTCGCGGTTGTAGTTCATACAGTTATCTTTGCGTCCCTTCCGTTGCATTTCTTAAACGTAAAATTCCATACATGCGCTAGCAAAACAGAATCGTCCGCTCGTCCCAGCGTCCACCCCGCCACATATCTCTTCAGAATGGGATAAACAAAATATTCTTTCATTTCGCAACGCAACGTTTTTTTCAGCATGAAACACAGCCTTCAGTTTGTATCGGTAACTTAAATTACGCATATTATTTACGAACAAAGACTTTGGTAGATAACTACATACTGATTGGTATACTTCACACACCCAAAGCCTCTATACGGTCTGCAACAAGCGAAAGGGTTCTTTCCGCTATAGAGATAATCTACCTCCTTACCCAGGATTGTGTTGATTTTGCTCATCCCAATGTGAAGACACTGCACCAAAGTGAACGCCAAGACGAACGGACAACTCTGCCTCGCCAACGCATGTATGGATGCCGCCGATATTTCCTTATTATCATCTTTTTCACCAATACTCACATTAAATCCTATGATCAAGTTCGGTTTTATGAATGACGGACTGCGCACGTATTTCTCGTACGACACGTCGTGGTACTCATAAGACATTTCAGCCCCAATAAAGTCATCAGTGCGTGACGGAACGAATTTATCTTTTAAGCCCGGCCCTATCATTACAATCTTTACTGATATCTCTATGTCTGATCTCAAGGTCTCCACCATTACCTCCAGAAAAACTTCCCATAAAAAGGCTTGGTCGATGACATTTGCACCTATAACATGAACGACTACTAAACCCTTGCTTTTTGGGACATAGTTTAACCTTTGCACAGCATAAAACAGCGTCAAGGGACCCGTCAGACGTTTTGAGAGTTTGTCTTCCGCGACAGTGTACAACACCTCTGTGTCAGCCTGAGTAATCCAATTAGCCTTTATAAAGTCTCTCATGTTCTGAAATGTACTCGCGCAGGGATTATCTTGCAAGTCAAAATACGGAAGTTTGTGCTCCGGAATCTCTCCTATCTCAATTAAATCTATGCCAAGACATAGTTGCAGGGGAGCGCAGATGTCCCAGTGGTCAGGGTTGTTTTTGTGAATTTGACAAAAACTGGCCGCACACTTCTGACAACTCTTCAACGACTTCCATTCGTGGCAAACTAGGCACTCTTTTGGAAAATAGATCATCTGCTTCTCATCCGCATGCAGACGACGTCCCAGCCTGGACGACACTAGCTTCGCGAAGGCCATCTTTCTTTCGGCCCATTCGTTTGTAGTTTCACCGCGATAATCCATGTTGTAGTCTAGCAGCGCGTCCTGTATAGCTTTGCACAAAGGTTTGTGCTGCTTCCAGTGCTGCTTCTGATGTTCCTTACTACAATAGGAGATCATCTTACAGTTACTGCACCGCTTCAAAGAGACACCGTCGCCAAACCGTTTGCACACGTGACACATCGTTGCGTAGAAAAACTTGGTATAGTCGTTTTGAATTTGATTTCCTGCTTCCGATTCCATGACTTCTGCCTATACACAGTCTCGTTATATTAAAGTCTCCTTCAGCGTAAAGGACAAATATAGTGTTTGGAATGTTGTGCGTTCACCCGTGATTTATCTTGCACCCGTAAGATATGAGCGTTAAGCAAAATATGACAAAATTGGTAGAATAATGATCATTCCATGCGATGAATAAGAAGGATACTGTTTTTGCTGGTTTATCAAATAGAGGATTCGTGCGCACTCCGCGTACAACGGCACTTTCTAAACCGTCACCAGCTTAGCTCTGCTATCTGTGTGAGGCTGAAGCCTGTAACAAATAAACGTAGTCGTTAGATAAAATCTCGAGTGCTTTTCGAATCGCAAAATCTGTAAATATGCTCTTACCTGTAAATATATATGCTGTAACCTGAACTACGTTCCTAATCTGCGATAAACGGGCTTTTGTCGAAACCTATTTTATACAGAATCAGTTATTGAATTTTGTTGATCTTACCACATATATATGAAATTATTGATAACGTTAATAATCTCGTTGGAATACACCCTCCGCGAAACGATACTTACTCTGACTTACTCACGTAAAGAATGGCGGGAAACTGATCCTACCACATGTGCTACAGCCACTCGACCTCTGTCAATTGTTTTGATCGTCTTCTTCTTCTTCCATTGTTTGCGCGACCGGTATAGTCCCTCCATCTCCATCTGAGTAGTTCGGACACGAACCATAGCACGGATACGAACCCATGTATCATTACCGATACCGAGCGTAACGACGTAGTTGACGTCTACTTTCTCAGAGGGCAGACGCCGCAGACGCCATTTTTGTGTTTACAAAATGCCAAATAAGACGTAATTGTCAGATTGTCACCACGTGTCATCAGTATTTATCAGTATTTATCAAGGGCGGACATGAGTTAACGTGCGACTTGGTGTACGACAACAACATGGAAAAAGACATGGATCTATATTAAATTATAATCGTACGCTGCGCACGACAGTGCAAGAAGACAAGTACATACATACGTACGAGAGTTGTCAATCTTGTAATTAATATCACGTACTTGGTACTTCCGCATCGTTATATCGTCTTCTGCGAGAAAAATGTGGTTCTATTTTCTATTCGTCGTTTTCGGCATTCTCGATGTCGCAATGGCTTCCAACAATTTCGACTTCGGCGACACTCTGGCGTTGATCTTGGGATTGACCATTGCGATTGTCGGATTCTTCGCCTGCATGGGGGCTTATGCGAGGAGGCGAAACCACTTTGAATCTCTGTGATGCCTCACAATGCTTCGCAATCGTCTTAAACATATCCAACGGTAAGTATAACATTTTGACTTTTGACATCCAGGATAGAATGTTTGAATTTTTTTAATATTTCTCCTCCCTACGAAGATTTTCGACATTCAATTGTAATTTAAAATGCTGTTTGTAACAATAGAATTATTGTCTGAATCGTTAATTTTTATTTAATAGTTCTTGGGATATTAACCTGTTGTTTGGCCCATTTTTTATGTCTGTTATTAATATTAGTATTAACTTGGTATAAATAATGTTAATGCAATAACGTAATTCTTTCATTATCTACATAAAATATAAAATGGTTATAAGATAATATTTAAAAATATTTTGGTTACAGACAAGAATATTGTCTTATTATGATTACAGTATAAAAGAGATCTGACCTATCCAGGAAGATGATGGCTTAAGAAGCACAATTCAAGGTTTTTTGTACATACAAAGGCAGTTTTTAAAAAGATTAGACAATATTTGAAATACATTATAATGACGTATTGATGTATTTGTATGTAATGTCTAATATATCTATTATGTAATAAAGGAACGTGACTAATAAATAGCATTTTCATTATTATTCCAATACTAAGAAGTTCGATGATATTGCGCATGGTGGAAGAAGACAAGTGGTCTGTATCGTACGTTTATTTATTTCTCTTTGTTAAGTCTTATCGTATAGTAATTTTTACATTTAACGTCTTTTGATGAAGGTCGTTTGATAAAGTAAAGCTTCAGCCTGTTTTACAATATTGTACGAGGTACAGAGATATATTATTGAAACCTTTGTTTTAATTGTGGTATTGATAACCGTTTATGATAACTAAAATTAATTAATGTTTTTATTTACGTGGGATAGTATCTTTAAACATATCCCTTAAAAAAATAAAACATTTGAAACAAAATATCGATAGTCAGTATACTTATTCGAATTGTATTTTCAAATTATTTTAATGCATATTAAAATTATTCAAGATTATATTTTTTATAATTTGTTTCTTAGCGTTTGTGTGGAAATCACTTAACAATCATACCCTCCGCTTGAAATCTCACATTCTCTTTCGTTGCAATACAATTCTGGAAGTAAACTCTTAATTTTATATACATGTAATAAAATTCCCAGTAAGTAGAATATAATTGTTGATGCAATATGCAAAAACGAACCACGTTGATCGCCGGAAGAAGACCCGATGGACATTCGATCTCCTAGGAAATTCAAGTCCTGGAATTAGGAACGAATCACATTGGCTGCCGAAGAAAAGCCCGGTGAACAAGATGTCTTATTTTAAAAAAGAAGAAGCTCAGACGAATAAAATATGAGAAAGGACAAGAGATCTTGGCCTGATAATTTGATATTTCCGTGACTAAATGCTCGCGAAATTTGTCATTCTTTACAAATAAACCTCCGTTTATTAACTATTGCTTCTATCCGTTTCTTAGATGTTAACGAGATTTGATGTAATAAACAGCCATTTCTCATATCAAATTACATAATTGAGATTTGCTAGACGTAATGCAACACCGATATTCGAAAAGAGAGAAGGTACGTAGCCATTTACGAATGAGTTACCGAAGAAATTTAAATCGACTCGGTTAAAATCAATATCCACTAAACTCATACACGGTATTCAATGATGACGATTAGATTTGTCATCTCGGATAATAATCGTATAAAGACCTAATTTAATCTCAATCCATGTAATATACATATATAGATATATATAATAAACTATTGCTATTTTGGGAACATTTCAACAGATTTTAATGTGATTTTAATATTGTGACATAAAAGCACCAAAAAAAGAAGTCTTATACTTAAAAAAAGTTTAATCTCAGCACAGAAATCACCAAGTTCAGAGTAGCCTCGAGAGTCACGTGTCAGAACGAATAATTTAAAACACTTCCCTCTTAATGACGGTTGCAGCAACAATCCTGACATCCAATCATACGATAATTACATAAACAATTTTCGGTATCATTAAACAATATTAATGAAAACGAAAAATCTATAAAATCCGATTTAAAAAACTAACGATAATGATCTGTCGGTAAGGTGTGTATAATATATTCAGCAGTGAGAGCAGTCGTCGCATTGTAATCGAATAAAAACTGTAATTGAATGTTTCGCTACCTGAAATGATGTGTCACAGATTACCAAGAACTAAAAAGGAAATTTTTAATACGTTGCTCCAGTACGTTGACAGTAGTACATCTTAGATTGATTAAAAAGATAATAGTCGGACACTGTCAACACGCATTTGTCAATGGTCTACGGATGGCATCGGGTAATTTATCTCAATTACATATATATATCAAAATAAACAACGGTAGATAAAACGGCTACTACCAGCTTTAAAAGAAGATATAATAATCATCAATATAGTAAACGAGATATATGGGTTTGCTAACTAGTAACACATGACTTTTTTTCTTTAATTGAAATAGGCAAAATCGCTAGAAATACATTAAAGCATAACAGTGACTATATTAATCATATTTCTCTCTGCCTATTTTTTTTCATCTCCAACACACACATACCCGCACAATTATACGCATACATACGCGTTCGCGCATACATACTCGCATAAAGCTATACACACACTCCCTTTTCATTCTATCTTCCCCCATTTCTTTTTGCCCCTTGCCCCTTGTCCCTATCACTCTTTCTCGACTCGACACATCCAGCATACAGTAACAGTTATACACATATACCGAGCAGAATGGCCATATGCCATTTCGATCGTAAGACTAGCGGAGGCCTGTACTAATGTGAGCTGTGCTACTAAAGGAGTCGGGTCAATAGTAGAATCCCTTAGAGGTCTCAGCGAAGGAAGAGTTTTCTTTTTTTTTCTTCTTTTTTTGTTTTTAACGTATCGAAGCACAGTACATGTAAAGGCCTCTATCTCAAGTTCCTGCGTTGCACATTCGGAAAATTTATATATATATATATATATATAAGCGAAAAAGCGATATATATATATATATATATATATATATATATATATATATAT